CTTTGCACCACTTGAGATCTGCTGTACCATTGCCAGGAGCTGAGCTCCCTCCTCTTTGTGAATCCAATTCCTCCCTTTCATCTGGCGCCGGTGGGACGCTCTCAGGCGACCAGGGGCCTGCTCCTGAGCAAACGGCAGCTTTTTGTGGTCCACAGTTGCCAAAGTCCTGAGATAGACCAGCCCTATGGGCCTTTTCATCCTGAATTAAGATTAGAGTTGGCAGAAACGGTGCCCTGGGAATTTCTGGGTTTGCACACATTCCAAACTCTGGGGCAGGGTGGAGTAATTTGGACATTCTTCTTAGGATTACCCCAAGGATGGGTTAGAGTCTGACGTAGAGGGTTTCCCATCCTAGGGAGTTTCCCCTTTTTGACCACTGATGTCTCACTTCATCCTCTTCCCTTACGGCTGCATGTGCAATGGTTTTCTGGTTATTATCAGAAAATCTGCCTTGATAAACGTGTCTAGGAGCAGCGGGTTGGATTCTGGAGGTTTTGTGTACTTGATGCTGGATGATATTTTTCGGGAGTTTTTTCATCCTTAAAATCTCCGAGCGGGATACTGAATTTCATTCTTCCCCACTCAATATTGACAGTTTTTGTATCCCTCTTGTATATCTCAGTATTTTTAAATGACCATGAAAATGCATCTATCTGGGCTGTATCTGCTTGTCTGCTTTCTCCTTCTTCTTAACAATGTAGGTGCTGAATGGGGGATAAAAATTTCATTTTTAAATACCGTTTCAGTCATCTCAGAAACTCTCCCCTTAGCACGCTTGTACCAGTGCCTGCGTACACCAGACGAAGCCTTTTGACTGGAGGTGTAAATCGACAGCTGGTGTCGCAGAAAAGCTCCAGCAAAGGACTCTGCAGGGTCGATGCAGGGACATCTACGTAATGATATATCCCCACTGCTCTCTCCAGAACATGAGGGTGAGAAGGGAAACACTATGGTTTCCAGAAACCTTGAAAAGCGAGCAAAAGTCTGCTCAGCAAAGGATGGTTCTGGTAAGATTTCTACCCCAAAAAGGTGGGAGTGGAATCAATGCCATGGTGCCATTTAAAGCCTCAGTGTGTAGGTTGTGATTTTTGTTTCCTGTTGGCTATCAAAACTGCTTGAGAGTCTTATATCACTCCAGTTATGTGTAAAGGATCTTAAATAACATCAACTTTTTCTCCTTTTAAGATACATTGTCTGATCTGCAGCTAGCAATGCAGATTTGCCTTTCTTGAAGAGCAATTTTCAGCATCCAGCTGACTTTATAGTATTTTGGACAGGAAAAAAAAAAAAGCACATTTAGGGGAGGGGATGGTTTTTCCACCCTGCAGGAAGTTTGCAGTTTCAAAGACATTTCCCCACTGTAAATGAGGGAGAAAACAAAATAAAAAAGTTAAATGTTGCTTTGGGCCCTTGTAACACTTTCTTCAACCCATCATCTAAGCAAACAAGATGTTTTTTGGTTTTTTTTTTTTTTTGTAAGGCAAGGACAAATCTTTTAATTAAAAAAAGCTGAAATTGTTCAGACTAATTCCAGGAAATGTGAAGAATGAGCTGATCACAACTATTTTACAGATTGCTTCAGCTTTGTCAAACTTGCACTTTTTTGAGGGTAATTCCCGACCGAGCGTACCCTGGAGGCTGTTGCCCTTAGTTCAGTGCGGTGCTCTATTCCCCCGCTGCAGGAGCCATGGGTTGTCAGGTCACAACTGCTGTGTTCAACAGGGATTTTCCTTCGCTTTTGCTCTGGAGGTTGCCCCCTGACCGTGACTTGGCTGGGGCTAGCAGCAAGCCACACTGTGCACAGGGTGACAGCTCTCCTTTAGCCCCTGAGCCACAACTTGCCGCTCTCGAAGTCTCATCTTTTAATGCTCGTTGCGACGCCCAAGTGAGTCTCGAAGTTGAAAACCCGGGGCCTGGGTTTGCCTGATGCTAGTCAGCAGTCGTGATTTCATCGAGTCTCCGGGTCGGTGACTGCCACCATGAGCAGGGACCTCCTGCCTGTCCTGAAGCCCCAGCAGAAGTGTGGCTGGACCTTCTGGTAGCTTTTTGTAGGACTCGGGATGTTTATTCTTGGCTGCTACCTGCACGCACGTGATCCTCACTGGGAAGACACTAAAATCACCAAGGCTGAGAAGTGTCATCGCCAGTCTTCTCCATCCCTCTCTGTCTGTCATTTTTTGTGTTGTGCTTTGGGCACAGGTTAATTCCCATCATCGCAGGAGTCCACAAAAAGTAGAAAAAAAATTAAGCTGTAGTCAGTAGCTTCAGTTTGCTGTAAAGGGTGTTTGTCTCCACTGGAAAACTTTTAGTGTCCGCGGGAGCTTATTGCATCCGTAGGTTTTTAGGGGCACTTCTTCGCCCAGTGACTGTGGGATCCTCATTCTGGTATTTGTTGCCCTATGCAATAAAAGAAATAAATGCCATTAGTGGGTAGGTCTCAGTAGCCTCTCTGTGGAGATCCCTGGTTGTGGGAAGAATCTGAGATAAAGGAAAGGTGGGTTTGATAGCTCTATATAAGGAGACAAATCTTCCTTTACTCTTGCTACCCAAGCTGCTTATGCAATCCTGTCGCTACGGAGTTGTAACGGAAAAAGAGCCTGCATTATAAAATCCTGCAATAATTAACAGCCCCATCAGTCACAGGTCTGCCATTTGGAAGCTGCTTTTGCTTTTTCCATTAAGTTGGTAAATTTTGCCAAAGTGTTTTTCTCAGTGTTTTGGCACTCGGCCCTGCTCTCGACTCGTACGGTATTGGCTGTGTGAGGGGTCCAGGAGCAGGGCTGAGGCCAGCTGGATCCCACGCTGCCCATTCATCTCCTTTATAGCCCCGTCAGTGTCACTGGAATGAAATTACGTGCTGGATTTTCCCCTAAGGCTTGTTCCCCTCACTCTGTTGGTCAACGGGGATTTTTGGAAGCAAATTTAGGTTGTGAAGGTACCCCTCCAAAAAAGAGGTGGGCTTCAATGGGGTGTGTTGAATGCACCAGTGTTTGTACATGGCTGTACAAGCCTGACCCTCACCCCAGGAAAGGTGATCTTAACGCCTGGGGCTCCTGCTGCCCTTGGAGTTCATGGCATGTTGGTCCTTCCCCTCGCCTTCCCGTCAAACCCGGCTGATGACACCCAGCAAGGTGTCATCCATGCTCCCTGGAATTGTGTCCACATCTTAAAACTCTGCTGTTCCTTTGGAGGTGAGCACAGAAATGCAGGTCTTTCAGTGAAGTAGATTTGAGCCTCTTTTAAGTCATAAAAATACTTCTTTAGAGGTAGCCATGAAGAGTCATCCTATTCTTCCCTTCCCACATCCCCTGAGTGAACTGGGACAATAGCTGTCCTTGGGCTCAGCAGTTCTTCAGCCCGATAGCCGTGTCCCATGGGATGAAAAGGGTGGAAAACCACCAAGTCTCGCCAGCTGGAGATCTCTCAGCATAGCGAGGGTTTCCTGGTTAGCATACGTCTGGCTATAGGACGTGGTGAAAGAACTCCGTGGTTTGGCTATTCCGAGCTGTCGTTCCTTCATGCATAAACTAAAGCAGCCCCAGAGCTCCTGAAATGTGCAGCCCAGCATCAGGGTAATGGAAACAGCGAAGACTGATGTGGTCCATCTCATTTGTTTCCCAGCCGATGATGAGCCGCTCCAGCATTTTGTCCCCTCTAAGCCTTAAATTATTAGTTAGTGGCTGGATTCCTGCATGGAGTTTTACATTGGAGGCCAGCTTTCCCCACTGATGTGTAAATCACTGTGGCTTCATCTTAGCTGTGGGAACGGGTCTCCTGCACTAGTGCAGATCTGGCCCAGGGTAATACGTTGTCTCCGAGAGGACGTTTTCTTGCACTGAAGCTGAGCTTGGTGGCAGGAGAAGAGTGGTCTCTAATCCCATGTGATAAATGATTTGCCTTTGCCGGAGCCGAGGAGAGGAGGGAGCTGCGCTTTGGCGTCGCTCTGCACATCCCAGTGTTCGCGCTGGCTTGGCCGAGAGGAAGAACAACCTGTGGGTGTCCCACGCTGCTTGCTTCTGGCTGAGGGCTTTCTCTAGTTTACATTCTTGTCTCTGTTCCTCCAGCAGCCCTTGCTGATCAGGCTGTTAAATATCTCTGGAAGATGAGGGGATTCAATCTTCAGACTTTCCACTGGCAGTTTTAAGTGAACTTAACCAAGGAGTTTCCTATGCTCGTTGTTTGGCTACAAATCAAGGAAGTTGGTGGGGGAAAGGGGGGGGGCTTCAGCTACCTTTCTGGTAAAAGTTTTCCTCTCTGCTGGCACTTCAAGGATCGGTTTAGCTAACTGAAAGGTTTGTCCAAGTCCCTCTGAGGTGTGAAAGGGTCTGCGAGAGCACTGTGCTTGGGAGTCTGCGGCTCTCACGCTTTGTAAATTTTCCTGCCGAGCTAATGAAAAAGTCATTAATGGCAGCGGTGTAGGGCGCTGAGTGGCTAGAAGCTGTCCCCTGTCTTTGCATCTGGGTGTAAAACGAGGACTAGGTCCATGTAGGATTTTGTATGTTTATTTTTAAGCACATGGTAAAGCAACAGGATTGAGTGGTGAGATGCCAAGGCAGTGGGCATGTCGCGGCGTGTCAGCCCGTTCCCTACCCGCGTCCTCACAGACACGCGCATGGCCTCCTGGCATGTCTTTTGACCCTCCAGTTTGAATCCTTTCTCCATCCTCTCGCATTTCTGGGGTTCTGTCCTGGACGAGTCCCAGAGAACAGCAGTAGCACAGGGACTGCTGGCCTGGCGCTGATGATGCTGCATCGCAAAACACTGGTCTCTCCTTGTTCAAGGCTTGATCAACAGCCCCTAATACCAGGGGGAAAACCTTCCCCTGAACTCAGTGGGATTTGGGAAGCAAGCGGTGTTCTGCTGAGCACCCACTCCCAGACATGGGCGCTGACTTTGACAGACTTGTGACCCTCTCCTTAATGGGGAGGGGGGACTAGGGTTTGGTGGGTTTTTTTGCTAACATTGTAGAAACTAATTTTATTTTCTTCTTACAATTTTAGGGGATTCTGCTTTCTCTGGACTGTATTATGTTTTACCTGGTTCCTGGGATTCACACAGGGAAATTCTGAAGGTAAATTACACTTTTTTTTTTTTTCCTTTCTTCTTTTATTTTCCCTCCTCTTTCAACCAAAGTAAAAGCCAAGTGTTTTGGTATCAGTTCAGGACCATCATCTAATAACGTCTGAGCCTTGTGCACAGAACTAGATGCATTTATTGCTGATCACTGTGGAACTGATGATCTAGATGATGCAATTAACAGCTGGCAAACGAACCAGGGTTTTACAGGTGATTATGTGCCCCACAGGATTTTCAGAAGTGCCTGTCTGTCTGGTGGAACTGGTGGAACTGAAGCACTTCGGTGTGTCTAAAATGTCACTGGAATCTACCTGCACTTGCCAATACTTAACTGCTTTTAGCAAGTGCCCCTTGAGGCTGGGGTATTAAGGAATTATGGGGCATTAAGGAATTAAGTGTCTCTAGCAGACAGCTTTTTTCTTGACTTGAATGCAACCCAATCAGGCCTGAGCAGGCACATAGGATGTTATACATTCAAAAATGATGTGAGTTCTAAAAGTGAAAGTAGATTTAAGGAAGAAAAACCCCACAGGGGTAGTTGATAATAGAATGACTGTCTGGCTCGATCCCTGAGCTCTAGGGGAAGTGTCCTGTAAGGGAGGGATCATACACCTTCACCCTGTCTTCAAACCCCTTCCCTAGGCATCCCCTCCCTAGTGCTACTGGGGACAGGACAAAAGGTTGGGTACAATAATCAATGACCCCACAAGAGGAGATTGAAAGCCTCAGAGTCAACAAAAATAAAAATGAATTTGTACTTTACAGTTGATAGTTGGATCTGAGCATCTCTGCAACATCTGTTTGTAAAGGAGCCATCTCTTCTTAAAATAGCAACACCTCTTCCACGCGAATGCTTTACATGGGTATATGCTGGAACTGAACAGCTTCCTCTGCAACCAGCAGGCAACAATAAGTGGACTAGCAGGCTCCAGGGCTCTCCTCTTACTCTCCAAAACATGAAGGAAAAACAGAAAGTTGGTCAATGCTCAGCTGTAAGCCAGCCCATGGAGCACTTTTTACAGGGAAAAAAAGAAAAAAATACATCCCTGCCATCAGCAATTTTGAAAAATGTAATATTTTCCAAATTCTGCTTCAATGCAAAAGAGGTGAACATCTGGTTGAATTACTTAGTCAAGTAGTTTTCAAGCAAGTTTTATGTCAGCTCATAAAGAGGCAGAACAAATACTGTGTCTTGGCTCTCTTTTTTTCAAGTAGATTTTTAGTATGCTGTTCAGTTTCATCTCTATCCATCATTTTACTCCCATGACAATTATGGGATGCTGCCATGTCTTTTGATTGTTACCATCAATCTAAAGGAAACTCCTTCAATTTGCTCTTATTGCATTACCTTAGCGTGGAACATAACTCCCCTCTGAGATACTTGCTCTGTGATAAAAGAATTTAAAACATCTTGCTTGGTTTCCCCACAGCCAGAGACAGGCTGCTCTTCTGGGTACCAGAATGCAAAAAAATTCCAAGGAAGCAAAGGCTGTAAGAAAACTTTGGGGACTTCAGACTGTATTATCATAAACATGAGGTTTACAAAAGCAATAAGAGCTTGTTCATAGATCTGTGTGAGGATGAAATTAAGCCAATGCCATCGGCTTTTGCAAATACTGTGGTTGTTACTAAAAGGCTTAGGGGTCTTCCCACACACTGGAAAATCAGGGAACACAGAGGGTGATTTTTCCGTAAGTGTTACAAATCCAAAAGATCATGAGGTTAGTGAGTTCACCTGATGTGCACTGACTAAGGGTCTGGGCACTAACTTTTGCAAATGTAGCTTTTACTCAACTCAATTTTAGCTGTGGGCATCACGTCTCAGTGGTGAGAATCTAGGAAGCTGCAAGTTATTTCCCTCCTGACTTTTGGCTTCTTTCTGTTATAAAGCTTTTTACATCGGGGAAGGGGGAGGGAAAGAATGATATGGGAAAGTGAGCAATAAAACATTTTATCCCCTTTTTCAGGGATGATCATGTGATAGTTGAGGAATCTCTGAGCATCTCACTTCATGTACAGAGTCTGTTAGAGTAAGTTTTTCCCAGTTGCTCAAATGTTGCTGCAGGAATGTTGCAGCTAACTTCAGGGCACCTGGGACCAGGCAGTGCTAAGTGAATGGTTTTTTAAATAATGTGTTTTGATGGAAAAATCTACAGAGGAAAAAATTTGAAGAGGAAAAAATGCTTTGCTAAACTTGGACCTACTTAAGGAAGCCAAAATTACCTTGCGTTTTACGTTAGTTGATGACATCCCGTCATCCCGGGGGACGTGCCCCACCAGCCCAGGGCAGTCGGCATGGGATGGAGAGGCAGATGGGCTGGGTGCACAGGAGTCCCGAGCTGTGTGCCTGGACCTGTTGCTGGAAAATCCACATACATGTCCTGCATGAGGTCTGTCTTGATCAAATTTTGCGTAGGCATCTAGAATTTGGCTCTATCTTAGTGGGTTTTGAGGGAAAGGAGTGGTTGGGTTGGGTTTTTTTTTCCTTTTTCTTAAGCACTGTTGGATGCAGTTGCTAACGAGGCAGTTGGATTGGTATTGCAAACAGGAGCAGCATCCTCTGAGCAGGGAAACATCCTTACGTCCTTGCTGAGCAGCTACCAAATGAAGAGCTCCTGGAGTGTAAAGCATCTCTGCCTAGTAGAGACACACCATGGTCTGTCTCTGAGACAGACCCTAAAAATCCATGTAGAAATGGGAAGCTGGAGTCTAACTCCTAGTTTGAGTGGTAAGTTTATTTCCGTAGGGCTAAATCCTGATGCCTTTGAAGTCTGTGGCAAGGGTCCCACTTGACTTTGCTAAAGCCAGGCTTTGGCCTTTACTATTTCATGGACTCTGGAGATTACCCAGTATGAAGATACTGCTGTGATTCCTCTGATCTGTGCAGAGAGGGGAAGGCGCTCTATCTTTGCTAGGCTGAGGGTCAGCCCCACTGGACAATATGGCAGGAGAAGAGTGGAGGACCAAGGATTTCTTAGTATGGGAGAAGAACCATAATTAACGCTTGCACGTGCTGTGCAGTGAATTATCACCTCTGCACAGAGTGGGAAAATTTCCATCCTCTGTCACATCTAATGCATCTTCTCCGTGGTAGTCTCTGCTAGAAAATGAGTCAAGCTGCCTTGAAAAAGGGAGGTGGGAATAAAGCTGAGTTCAGACAAAGTAAATATTGATTGACTTGTTCGTACATAGAAAATGGCTAGGGTTTTTGCCAAAGTCAAGGAACAGAGGTTTTCTCGTTATTCTCCTCCTTTCCTGGCCAGCAACATTACAGGCCTCAAACTGGCTTGAGTCTACAACCCTTCTGGCCAACACCGAGGTTCTCTTTTAAGTGCCAGTTCTCCAAATATTGGGTATAATGCTGAATACTTAAGGGTAGAAGAGGCCAAATTCCAAGGCCCCTTTAGAGAAGGAGCCCTTTTTTTTTTTTTTTTTTTCTCTTTCCTTTGGACAACCTTTGATTTACTTTTCCTTTTAATCCAGGAAAGCTGCAATCCCATGGCGTTAGCTGATGTACAGCCGTGATTGGCACTGCCGCATTTCTGATTGTTAAATTCTTACCTTGCGAGATCAGCAGTTGGATTATACAGCCCGGGCTAGCTTCCCCAAAGAGCACTCGAATACGAGTTAGCTTGTCATCGACAAATGGGGGTTGCGTTTGGGCAGGGAGGAGGGAAGGAAATACAGCACTGCAGTGGTAGTGTCACGGTGATCACTATACCCTTACCTTTATCTTTCTATACCATGTATGTACCAATTTTTTATTAGACCGAATGTTTGAGCTGGAGTAAGAGAACAAGGTTTTGGGTGCATGAGCACCTTTTTCAGGTCTGGGCACATCTTCCTTTGCAGTTTTTCTCACGTAGACATCGGCACCTTCCCCAGTTAAGTAGTAGTTCAGCTGAGACAGCTGCCAGCTGGCTCTGGGTTATGTTGCTGTTGCCTGCTAATCTGCCTTGGCCTCTGAGCTGTGTGTGACTCCTCTTAGACCTCGGGGCCAGAAACCAGAGGATTCCACTTGTCTGTCCATTGCAAACTTCTCCTAGAGTTGGTGAAGAAAGATTGGTGCCTCTGGACATTGATCCCTCTCATCCTGTCTTGAACAAGGCACCTGGCTCCTAGGTGACAAATGCTGGAGGCCAGTCTCTCCTCTACCGCTCAGCGTCGGCCATAACTGTTTTCTCAGCTCTTCACAAACCCAGTCTGGTTCCTCCAACTTATTTTAATAACTTAAGGCTGTAAGATGATCCGCTGGGAAAACCAAAACTACTGCTGTTGGGAACCTTAAGCAGTTCAGTGAAATCTAGGTGCAATTTTTTCATGCTGGGAGGCACCTTTGCCTCCCTAAACTCTCTGGAGTCTCAAAGATCAAAAGCTGCTTCCTACTAATTTGGAGAGAGACAGATAACAAGGTTTATGCTCCCTTTGAAAGTTCTGTTCCTTGCCTTCTGGGGATATAAAATTTTGCAATCCCAGCTCAGTCGGTTGTTCAAATTCATTTCCAGCTGTGTGGTCAGTACCCAGAATTAAATCCCAGAGAAGTGGACTATTGGTGCTCAGTGGGAAGTTTCCTTGTAGTGATGTCAGCTCCCTCCAGAACATCTGGAGCCAGTCCCTGGTGGGACGACAGGACAGCTGGCCAGATGCACAACGGAGCTGATGCATTTTGGCAATTGCTGGTGACAGAGTTGAGCGTGCACTTCCTCCTCATGCTATATGCAGAAGAGCTATATGCTCTCTGTTCTGATTATTTGATTATACATGTGTGAGAGGATGGTTGGGATTTCCTGTACCCTGTTGCCCTTTTGCGTGGACTGGCTTGACACCCTCCCCATCACACCACCTACCCATCCAGCCCTTGGGTTGCCCAACACCTGACATTTTCTTTGTGCTTCCTTTTCAGATGTGGATGTTCTTCAAAGACTGGGCCTGTCAGGGAAAAGGCCATCGACCGGATGGTCCTCATCACGTACAGTTCCTCAAGGAGTCATTCCTTTCAAATCAGGGGTCATCTTCACTCGGCGAGCACGCATCGAAGCACCGGTCAGTGCCATCCTCCCCTCAGGCTCCAGCACTGACCTGCTCCTGGTGCTGAGCCTCTGCTCCCACCGCATCAACAATGCTTTTCTCTTTGCCGTCAAGAGCAAAAAGAAAAAACTGCAGCTGGGGGTCCAGTTTGTGCCTGGGAAGATCATAGTGTATGTGGGCCACAAGCGCTCTGTATATTTTGATTACAATGTCCATGATGGCCAGTGGCACAGTATGGCCATCGATATCCGTGGCCAGACAGTCACTTTATTTACTTCTTGTGGGAAGCGCAGAGTACATGCGGATTTGCATTTTAAAAAGGACGAGGCATTGGATCCACATGGATCTTTCCTCTTTGGGAAGATGAACCAGCACTCCGTGCAGTTTGAAGGAGCCATCTGCCAGTTTGATATTTATCCTTCCGCCAAGGCAGCTCATCATTACTGTAAATACCTGAAAAAACAGTGCAGGCAAGCAGATACCTACCGGCCGAACCTGCCGCCCCTCATCCCGCTCCTGCCCAGGAATCCCAGTGCTTCCCCGAGCACCCCGCAGCATATGGAGCCCTCGCTGCAGGGTCTGAGAAACCTGACCACTGCTGCCCTATCCTTGGCGTTTGGCAGGGTCACTGCACCCCTCAAGACTCGGGGTTCAGGTGCAACAACTGTTACATCGGTATCGTCCCTACCATTGCTGCCGAGACTGACGACCAAAGCCACAAAGGTCACAGTGGCCCCATCTCCTGTTCCGTCGAGTACTGAAAGACAGCCACCCACCCGTTCCATCCCTCGGGGGACGGTGACGACCCTCAGAGTGTCTCGGCCCACTCCCAGCACGCGCATGGAGAAAACTCTCCTTCCCGCTGCCAAAAAAGCCCCACCAACAAGCCAGAGCCCTGCCGTGGCTAGCAGGAAGGAGTCCAAGCAAGAAACCAAAAAGAAAATCAACCAAAAACCCACCATTCAGCCCTCTGAAGCACCCAGTACTGTAAGGCCAATGAGGAGGGTGACCGATAACACCACCAGCAATGTCCACTTGGTCACCCTAAAGCAAACCCCGCAGAACCCAAGCAATGGGCCTCTTCCAAAGAAGCATGTGCCGTCCCTCACCAGGAAAGTGGATCCTAGTAACATCCCTCTGGTGTACACCAAACCACCCCTGGGGTCTGCTCGTCCCCTCGCGAGGGCACAGGGCTTCAACCTCACGACCCCAGCTGCGACCGACGGCTATCCAGTCTTTGACCCGCACGGACCCACTCCGTTTCCATTTTTGCTGGGATATCAAGGAGTGAAAGGAGAGCAAGGACCTCAGGTAAGGGCAAGCTCTTAATGCTAATTATTCCCAGATCAGCTAAATGATTGGCAGACCATGAGCTACAAGGGTTTCTTTAAAGCTTAGCGGTTGTGACAACTCAGAATAGCAGCCAAGCACTATTGGCGTTTCTGATAATCACCATTTTTAGCATATGTCTCAGTGTAAAGTATATGGAGTGCTCTTGGATGGTGGATGCCCCTTAAAAGTTTGTGATTAAAGTTGCTGCTTAATGGTAGATTTAAGAAAAAAAAAAAAAATTACAATTCCCACCTTCCTTCCTACAAGTCGCTGGTTAAAATTTTGACGGCCGAGTTGGGGCTCTGTTCCACACCCCTAGTTTTTCTGAAGGCCAGGAGGGCAGAACTGCTGCTCACCTTCCAAAGAAAACCCAGGTGCCTCACAAACATGCCACGAATTAACTGTTTCTTAACCCAGGTTCATAATGTTTTGTACCCAAAGTTCACATTTCCAGAAAAGTGCCCTGTTTCAGCAAGTGCCAAGTACAGAGACTGCTTCAGGATTTTTTTTTTTTTAAACAAACTCTCCTATATTTTTATGGTGTTAATTTTTTCTCTTTCTCATAGCCCCCACACTTAAAACCTGCAAAGAGTTTCCTTTATAAATTTAACTACTGCATTCCACACACAATAACCACTCTCAGGGTGTATATCTTGGCCATCATAAAAGTGTACACACATTTGGTAATGCTAAAAGCAGTCAGGCCACACTAATTATCTGCTAGCTTGCCTGTTTTTTTTTTTTTTTTTTCCCCCCAAAGCAGGAATCGCAAACAGGATCTTTAAACTGGCCAACTTTTAGGAGGATTTGGTGTTCCAACCCAAGCCTTTTGCTATATTGTGTATACGAGAGAGGGGTTGTACATGTAAAATAAGTTTCTCCCAGACGGAGGCTGGCTGCCAAGTTCCAGCCTAGAGCAAATTTTTACAGCTGACTTCTTAAAATAGTGAAAGAACGGTTTACAATGGAAATATTGAGAAGAGTGTAAAGAACACAATCAATAGCACTTGTGTCTTGCTCATCCTTGCGACACCTACAGTGAAATGGGGGGGTTTCTCTGAGCCCACAGTGGGGGCTTGCCTTCAGGGTCTGCATTTCCTGCCTGGCCCGTTGCAAAGCAGTGTGGTGACTGCTCTTCTGGTAATCTGGGAGGGGAGGCATTGAGGGGTGGGCTTTTTTCCTTGTCCCAGTGTTTGGGAGAGGTGGAGGTGCTGCCCTGGGCAGGGGGGACGCCGCGCAGGCGGCCCTGTGCTCCTGCCTGGCCTTAGAGGCACGCGGCCTTGTTGTCATCTCTGTACTTGGAGGTGTTTTGCCAAATGCCTGAGCAGAGGGAATGAGCTTCAGCGATTTTATCTTTGGGCAGTCTTCTGTGTTTAGTGGACAGTCATTTCAGGCAGATTTCCCAGAGGAGAAATGCAGCAATTGTGAACTTCTCCTTAGAACACTGCCTATCTGTAAGGGGTACATCAGGGTGGCCTGCTCTGAGCCCAGTGAAATCCTGTCCTTTTCCACCTTCTTGGCCTCTGAGTGACATGAGGGTGACCAAGCTCCCACTTCCCCCTGCAACGTAAAGAGCTGATTATTGAACTGGCATGGAAAATCCCACTCAGCTTGTGAATCATAGCAAAGAGACGGATTCAGGCTGTGGAGGGCTAAGGGAAGAGATGGCAGGGTTTTTCCATCCTGTTTGAGAACAACTGGAGTCCTGAATCGAGGGAAAGGAGAACATTTTGAGGCTGTGTCTGGCCTTATCCTCTTTGCTGGAAACAAATTCAGCACTTAGGGAGGGAAAGGTTATGGCTCGGCTGGAGCTGGCTGCCGTGCGGGGCTTGATAGCTCCTGTGAGTCACTCGGAGATCTCTGTACCACACTGCCTTGGATGTCTCTGACGTGGGAAGAGAAAGAGGAGAAAAGACCGGAATGGGGATGACATGTTGAGAAATTAATGTAGCACTTCCATGGCCAGACGAGCGTGTTTCAAGAACAAGTGCTGATAAATGCTCCGTGCTTGAGTAATGACCTGGCACCGTCCTCGTGTTGTTGGGCAGACGTTCCTGGTGAGGTCAGTGCAGCCCTTCCTGCTCCGCTGCGTGATAGCGCAGCCCGGCGCTTTCCCTGCACCGGGCAGGTGATGGCCTGGGAATGTCATTCACGGCGTCTGGCGCAAGGGCGGAAGGATAAGATGATTAATTAGTTTTCCCTTGCCTGATACGAGGTCTCCTCAAGCAGACTGTCACTCGGGGCAGAGAAACGCGTATGGGAAGCTGCCGTCTCCCTTTTCAGCGAGGACTGGGACCACCTTGGCAGTGATGTACAGGCAGAGGCAGGCTGGCAGCCAGCAGCATCCTGCCTGTCCAGCTCTCCACTTAAAGAGGAGAAAAGACTGTCTTTCACCCTGATCATCCCCAAACGAGGATGTGATTGACATCCAGGAGGCGAGGCAGTGATGACTCAGGCTCTGTGGTCTCTGCAGTTCTGGCTTTGTGCATGCTACCAAAATAACAGTGCGGTAACCTTTGCTGTGCAGAAGGGCCCCATGCCCACACTCGAGGGAGGTGTCTGCCTGGTTAGGGGAGTGCAAGCGAGGGGCTAAAAGGGCCTGTTCACCTCGCAATAAAAGGCAGCAGCCTCCGTGGTATTTGTCCTGAAAGACCACCGTGGTGCTGCGCAACAGGAAACGGAGACGCTGCGTCCCACATGCAACTAACAGCAGAGCATTAATTCTTCAGGAATGTTGGGTTTGCTGGGCAGCTAGAGAAGGGAGGATGATGCATTCTTAAAAAAGAAGAATTTCTTGGGAACCATTAATAACCACAAGCATTTGGGATCTCTGCTCTGAATTTCTGTTGGAGGGGGGGAAGAGCAAGAAGAACACCCAAACATCATGCTAAGTCAGTAACACAGCACTGAGTCAGCAGCTGGCCAAGGTCTCTCTGAATCATCCCCGCGGCTGCCCGCAGCACCTCTGCTGAGCATCGCTCAAGATCTTCATCCCTGCGCGAGACCAGGCGGCTTTCCCTCAGCTTGCAGGGCAGCGTGACCCCAGCTCATGGCTGCAGGCAGCTTCGACACCCGCAAAAGAAAAATAACACATGAAAAATAGCCGTTTGTTGCCGCCATGGCAAGCCCTTGCAAGGCTGTGATGTGATAGGTGTTTTGAAGCCTTTTGGTGGATGTGGTGGGGTACCGTTTGCTTGTCCGTACCAGTGGCAGGCTTGGTGGGGAGATTTAGGGGGCTGCAGTCCTCTCCCTGCCCATCGGTGCTGCCCACTGGGGTGTTTGTGCTCTGTGTTAGGTGGTAAAGGTGCAGCAAACCCCGTGCCCTGGGGCAGCCCTGGGCTCTGGCTGGGCTACACAGTGTTGTACCCCACGTACACCTTTCTGTACCGTAAGGCTGTAATCCCATAGATTTTT